CCCCTGTTGACAGGATTTTGTTCAAGACATCAGAAAACAAGATATTAGATGTTAAATGAAGACATTTCATCAATTGATCAACTTGTTCCAAAGAAACAGCTTGTTTTCATCCGAATAACTTTCTCCACTTCTAAAGCTATTTTCCTTTTCCGCTGACTTGCGGGATCTCTTATTTTACACTCTCTCACCCAAACACACGTCATAATTTTTTTTATCATCCATTTATGTCCTGACTAATAAAGTCAAGATCTACCCTCCTTTTTTTTTTCTTTTATTGAATTTTCTTGCATTCGAAAGCATGTCATTAAGTCTTAATTAATGCATTTGTGACTTTAAAGGTATAGTGTGTAATTACTTATCTGGTACAATATTGGCCAATATTGTGTAATTGTTGCGCACTCATTGTTTTTACATTTAAAGTCCCCATGAAATCAAAATTAAAGTTTTTTTTTGGGTGTTCGTATCAATATGTTAGTCTTAAGGTTATCTATAAGGCAGTGTGCTCCAAAACGGTGACAAAATTCGCATTTAGAAGATATAAGCATTCAAAGCTTGCAGTTCATCCCTTCCGCCAAAACGGATCAACGATTTGTTTTTTTACGTCACATCGTACTTCATCTTCTCATCAAATCTTCTGACCAATCAAATGCTCTCTAGAATCCGAAGCGCCCGCCCCCTGCACTATAAATATATTTGTTATATTTATTTTGAAAAGGGGGCGGGGCTGCTCGATGTCCCGCCCTCTCTTCCTGTTTCAGTTGAAATTACGTCACCACATAGAATAATGCTGCACGTTTCAAGTCACTTCAGGGGACCTTTAAATGACCTTTGTTGTCATTGAGTGAACTAGAGCAGTGGTTCTCAACTTTTTTTATTTTTTGAAACTCATGATTTTTCAAGTTGTTCAGGATTTACTGGATAAGGCTTGCAGCTTCTACCAAATAAAGTCATTTAAAGCTGACATAATGAGAAAAATGTATATTGATATTGTATGCCCGTGGATTTTTAAGATTGAGTTAATGTATGACTTTTCCAGGTATAAAAATCACACTTTTAAAATGAGGCTACCTCATATAATCAGGTTTTTTCAAGACTGTGGGAATCCTGGTTGTTGAAAGCTGCTGTTGAGGTGGAGAATTAAATCATTTTAAATGATCTGTTACAGTGATACACTGAACCACTGTTAAATACAATCTTTAGCAGATTTCAAAATTAAGATCCATTTGTTCATACAATGTTGCCTAAATTAAACTAATTTTATTTCTAATTGGTTGTATTTTTTCTACAATATTTTGGATATTAAAACCAACCTTTTTTTTTGTGGTTTTAGGTTATGAAATAATAATATAATAAATAATTATCCATTTCAATATTGAGGTTCCTTAGTGTTAGGTTTTTTTTTTTTTTAGGAAAACAATGAAAAATAGCTTGCTTGATTATCTCTCCATATTACTCTGGTATATCAGTATTGTAACATTTTAAACATTTAGTAACTTTTAAAATAAACAACCAACGTAGTTTTTCTACACAACACCAAACCATTGTACCATTTTGACCATATTCAATGTTAATCTTTGCCACCACAGTGTCATGGAGGTTGTCAATAAAGGTTGAGATGGTCTATATTTTCTTTCCTCACCTTATAAAGTGGTTCTGCTCACACCCAAACTCCAGAATCACATCGCTGTGGTTTCAGCAATGTTTTCAGGGTGATGAAATATTGATGCAATCATTCCTCAGTCCTACAGATGTGCTGCCCGAACCACAACATCACTCGCTCACTTTTGCTAAAAAACAGACAAATGTGAACTAGTTTGTGCAACTTCAGTCATTCATGGAGATTCGGGTTTCATTACACTAAACGAATGTCATAATGACATGCTCTACGTGTGCATCGTGCACTACTGATGTGTAATGCGCTGTGATTGTAGTGAAGGAGATGCTGTTTACACAGGGCTTTGGTGTGGCATTGGGTGTGAGGCTGAGCTCTCCCAGCATTCCTTGGTGCACGGCCAGATTGTTTCATGCTTGTCACACATGCATATAGATATATCTCCTCATATACTGTATATCCTCTCATACATAAGCAAACTTTGGACTCTTTTTACCCAAGAACCATTGTGGATTTACATCTGACACTCTTAATCTGCTAAACACATAAATGCAAATTCACAGCACGACTAATTAAGTTAAAACAATGGCAAGTGTCTTTCAAGTATTTCTCAATTAAGTCACGTTAAGTATCATTGCTTCAGATTCTCAATTATTCAAGACAAGTAAACAAGTCGGTAGTAAAATGAAGAGCAAATAAACTCATTACAAGCTATAAAGCAAATAGCCTAAAAACAAAAAGAACAAAGATGCTAATTGAGTAAACAGTGCTTTATGGGTAACTAGCTTGAGTCATTAATTTATAACGCATACATTTATATGTAAAAAAGACAAAACTAATCAAATGTAAAACGGAGTACAAGAGTGGGATGCAGGAGGTTAAAATCCGTAGGGGAATTGATGATAATATATAATAATTTATAAGTTGTTAAAAACAAACACACTGTGAGCTATAAGGGTTGTTAGTTGACTGCGTGTGCTTTTTTTTTTTAAACCATCAGCCCACATTATTAAATACTTGATTATTATTAATAACTGCGTTTAACAGCTGAATTTTTGGTAGAAAAACTACATTTCCCATGATTTAGCAAAGAAATTTTGCTAAACACACACACACACACAAACACGCACACACACAAACACACACACATATATAAGGAGTTCATTTGCAAAAACCGTAAATTCAGAAATCAGTTGACTGCGTGTGCTTTTTTTTTAAAACCATCAGCCCACATTATTAAATACTTGATTATTATTAATAACTGCGTTTAACAGCTGAATTTTTGGTAGAAAAACTACATTTCCCATGATTTAGCAGAGAAAGTTTGCTAAACACACACACACACACACACACACACACAAACACGCACACACACAAACACACACACATATATAAGGAGTTCATTTGCAAAAACCGTAAATTCAGAAATCACTTTTTTTTATTTTTTTTTTATTGTGCATTCCAAGTAATATCAAACTGCAGTTGGGTTGTTTTGATTAAGTAATAATAACTTAAACAAATACAGGTAATATACAAAATTAAAGTTCATTGAAAGAATGTTTTTTTTTTTGTTTGTTTTTTACATATTAAGAGTTTGTTTTATAGCAAAAGCAGATAGCTCCACATTTCATGTTTTAGAGTTTAAAAAAACACTCGTTTAATCTTTGTAATCTCCTCAGATGACAATGAAGATGCCTGACAAACGTTGTTGTTGTTGTGATCATAAACTGTATGGATGTGATTACACGCAATACATGGAGCTTTTCCCTCACCATTGTAACGCGCTGCTTTAGCAAGGTTCCGTGAAAACGTTTCAGCTTTCCTTTTTCACCCCTGAAGATATCACAGGTTCATCAAGTTCGTCGAAATTATCCATCCTCGATCACTTCGGCTTTGACGAAACTCCTCTCAGCTAGCACGTCTTTTCAAAGTGAAAGTAGCCTTGTCACCTGACCTGAATACAGCACGCTGATTCGCTAAAATGGACTTATCGGCTTCTGTTCAAAAACAACAAGGGCACTTGTCGACTTCTGCAGTAAAACGTGAACTCGCGATGCCTTGAAAATGGGCACAACTGGCTTTTTTGACAAAACGTGTTTAGGGTTGAGATTGCGCTATATGTGGAGAATACAATTTTTTAAAGTGGCGTTTATCGGTTTTTGCAAATTAATTCTTCATATATAGGCAGGTAGGCTTTTATTTTTATTTTTTTTTGATTGGGAGAAAAACAAGATGGCTGGAAAAGTGGACAGGCACTGTTGCACTCTATAAAATTACTGACTTAAGGCCCGTTCACACCAAGCACGATAACTATAAAGATAACGATATATTTCTAAAAATCATTCTCAATATTAAAGAATAGCATAGTTCACACCACAACTATAACGATAACGATACAGAGGAACGATATCGTTGTGATCACTTTCAAAACGATTTTTTTCCAGCTGATGAACGATAAAACACTGACAGCCAATCAGAATCCATCCTGCTGTAACGAGCTCAAGAATTTAAAGCGGCAGACGCACGTGCGCTTAGAATAAACAGACGATGATGTGGACGCTAATATAGTTATCTTTATAGTTATTGTTCTTGGTGTGAACGGGGCTTTAGTCTTGAATTATTGTATTACTTGCTATAATTATTCCCATTTCAAGCTGTGCAACTCACTATCACTACGTGTAAGCAATTGTAATGCTTACACTATCAAACAAAACTCTTAAAAAGGGTTCATTTTGATTCCTAGTCATTATAAAGAGTCTTGACCTGACTCTCTCTCTCTCTCGTGGTAGGCTTTTATTTTTAATTTTTTTTGATTGGGAGAAAAACAAGATGGCTGGAAAAGTGGACAGGCACTGAAAAAAAAAATTACTGACTTAAGGCCCGTTCACACCAAGCACGATAACTATAAAGATAACGATATATTTCTAAAAATCATTCTCAATATTAAAGAATAGCATAGTTCACACCACAACTATAACGATAACGATACAGAGGAACGATATCGTTGTGATCACTTTCAAAACGATTTTTTTCCAGCTGATGAACGATAAAACACTGACAGCCAATCAGAATCCATCCTGCTGTAACGAGCTCAAGAATTTAAAGCGGCAGACGCACGTGCGCTTAGAATAAACAGACGATGATGTGGACGCTAATATAGTTATCTTTATAGTTATTGTTCTTGGTGTGAACGGGGCTTTAGTCTTGAATTATTGTATTACTTGCTATAATTATTCCCATTTCAAGCTGTGCAACTCACTATCACTACGTGTAAGCAATTGTAATGCTTACACTATCAAACAAAACTCTTAAAAAGGGTTCATTTTGATTCCTAGTCATTATAAAGAGTCTTGACCTGACTCTCTCTCTCTCTCGTTCTCTCTTTCAGTCTAATAAGGTCCCGGTGGTCCAGCATGCTCACATGCACCCCCTGACCCCCCTCATCACCTACAGCAGTGAACACTTTTCTCCAGGAACTCCTCCGGCCCACCTCTCGCCAGAAATCCTGGACCCGAAGACAGGTATTATACACTCTACTTAGTTTTAACTGGACATTTTGTCTTTCGTCATGTGACTGACTGACTGACTGTGTTCCTCTGGTTCAGGTATTCCTCGGACCCCCCACCCCTCAGAGCTGTCCCCCTACTACCCCCTGTCCCCTGGGGCTGTGGGGCAGATCCCTCACCCCTTAGGGTGGCTCATCCCACAGTGAGTATCCCAAAGGTTCATTGATACAACCCACACAGCCTGATTCATACTGATTCACTCTGATTCACCTTCTCTCTCTGTGTGCATCTCAGGCAGGGTCAACCCATGTATCCCATCACTGCCGGGGGTTTCCGTCACCCTTACCCAGCTCTTGCCATGAACGCTTCCATGTCCAGGTGAGTTGTGTGTGGCTTACGGATGCGTTCTCCCATACTGTGTCATGTTTTGCACTACACTTTTACACACCACATTGACTCTTTTCACAGAGTGAAGTATTTCCATTTAAATTTTGCAGGATAAAATTAGCAAAGGTTATTTAAAGGTTAAAAGTCTTTTGATGAAATGGAAGTAGTGACAGATCGTTTATTCTCTATTGTGACGTACATCCAAGTGTAGCGAATTATCAAAAACAATGGTTTTGATTTAGTTGTATGCATCCAGTTGTTGATTGGATTTGAGATTCTGGGGGCTTCATACAAAAACAGAGGTCTATGAAGTAAGCTGGCTGGACAAAATTGTCAGTTATATTGCACGGTCCAAAAAGTAAGTGCAGTTGAATTGTTCACAGTAAGACTAATAACATGGGTTTAGAAAATAGATAGGGCGAGTTGTCATTTCATTGTTCACAAACTAAAACCAAACAGACAGTCAACATAGCAAGTACATTTAATTCATTAATATTAGTACTTATTTGTGTAATTACACTGTAACAATGTCACCTTAAAACAGAGTTCCGTTTAATTTTCATTTGCTAGTTTGTTGAAAGCATCTGTAGTCTTTTTTTAAAGTTTTGTGAGAAATGCAGTATGCATAATCCATTTTTCTCATTTTGGTCAACAGGGATTTTTCTTTTAACATTTACTGTGGTCTTTACACTACAATTTCCTAACCAAGAAACAGGCTTGGAAGAGTCTGTTTGGAGTTTATTTCACAATCATACACGCTCAAGATGAAACTGATCTGAATTGCTCTTGATTTAGTGGTAGCACTGGATTAAAATAAGAACGATCTGTACTGAGCTTCTCTTGTTGTGTGTGTGAGGGATTCCTGAATTATTCATAGAGAGTTCATAGTGATCAATAGTCCGTCCTCCTCCAGACCTTTACAACCGTTGTCAGTACAAGCGAGTTTCTCCATTAGCATTTGTGTGATACAGAAGGACTACACTTTCTGGAGCTGCTTTGAGAATAGACCTATTTAGTATGTTTGATTCAATCCCTCCTTCCATTTGGTCCTGAATTGAAAAGAAATATTTACTTTTACAGTAAAGACAGCCCATTTGATTTAACATTACTGAACTTTCTCAAGCAAAAAAGATCCATTGTATGTTGCCAATAGTGTAGAAATGCGGCTCACACAGAAATCGCTTCTCACACAAAATTCCCAATTGCATGGATTCCTACTGAAATTGATTTTCCTTACAAAAACTAGCTGAACAACGGTAAATGTGAAATTCATATTTTCACTCTAAATTTTCCTTTTGAGGTGAGACTGCTTTTCTAAGTGGTCTGCAGAACATCATGTGGAAACTTCACATGCAGTTAATGAAGTTTATTCCTGGTATACTTGTGCCGATGTCAGCCGAAATTAAGAGGGTTTTATTTTTCTTTTAATAAAAGAGTCAAAGAGGAAGGGGGGAAACATTGGTCACTTTTTCTGGTTCTAGCTGATGACAGGCCTTAATTGATCGTTCACCTCACTAGAAGCTCTAGGCACTGGGATCAGAACCGTGTCCCATTCAGCCGGTTGTAGGAAGTGGTTTCCATGGAATTTGGTCTGGAGTGTTGCGCTTTTTTGCGTTAACAGTAGCCACACACTTCACCTGTAACAGGAGTGAATAAAGGAGCTTTTCAGCGGGTACTTTATTTAGGCCAAATATGACATACGAATAGAAATAGGAGTGTGCTTTTGTCTAGACACAGCATAGTTCACCCCAAAAGATGCGCTTTTTTGCGTTAACAGTAGCCACACACTTCACCTGTAACAGGAGTGAATAAAGGAGCTTTTCAGCGGGTACTTTATTTAGGCCAAATATGACATACGAATAGAAATAGGAGTGTGCTTTTGTCTAGACACAGCATAGTTCACCCCAAAAGTGTCTTCGACAATTCTGTCATCATGTACTCACCCTCAAGTGGTTTCAAACCTGTACGAGTTTCTTACTTCTGTTGAACACAAGAGAAGATATTTTGATGAATGTTGGTCACCAAACAGTTTCTGGTCCCCATTGACTTCCATTTTTTCCATACTATGGAAATCAGTGGATACCAGCAAAGGTTAGGTTACCAACATTCATCAAAATATCTTATGTGCCATAGAAGAAAGAAATGTATACAGGTTGAGGGTGAGTAAATGATTCATTTTTGGGTGAACTACCGCTTTAAGACCTATCATTAAGTTTTTGAGTATTATTATGGGATGTTTTAGATATTTTGAGATGTTGAAGGGTTAAAGGTCAAGACGTGCAAGCTGAACAGGTGTGTAAATGTAGTCTGAGTGATGGTTTAGTGGTTTGCACACATTGGGCCTTGGTGCTCATGTAGGAAATACAGATTCAATTCTAGCCAAATCCAAAATCCTGTAAGATAGGATGGGGAAGATGTGCTTTCCTTTATTTCAGAAGGCAGTAATGCTTATTCACTGCTTTCTTCCTTTGCAGTTTGGTGTCCAGTCGCTTTTCTCCTCATATCGTTCCTCATCATCCTCACGGCCTTCATCAGACAGGTATCCCTCACCCAGCCATCGTCTCCCCGTCTATTAAACGAGAGCCCAATGGAGAATTCAGCCCAGCGGCTAATACGTAAGCACACACTCACACATACAACACACTTACCTCCTCTTTTTTTTTTTTCCTTATAGCTTTTTTGAAACTGACAAGTATCCTGTTTTATTACTAGCAGCTAATAGCATTAGCTGCACACTCACATCCAAATGAGTTTATCACTGTTTTGTCTACAAGCTCGCCATAATTATACACACACTCCTCTATATCCGTTTTTCTCACGGTCACTCCTTCACACACACACACACACACACACATCCAGTACATAGGCTGACCTACCTGTCGTGTGTGTTTGCAGAAAGTCTCCAGTCCCGACTAAGAAGGAGGAGGACAAGAAACCTCACATTAAGAAGCCCCTAAACGCCTTCATGCTCTATATGAAAGAGATGAGGGCCAAAGTGGTGGCCGAGTGCACACTGAAAGAAAGTGCCGCCATCAACCAGATCCTCGGCCGCAGGGTGAGTGAACAGTTTAGTCCTCGTATGAACACACATTTTGAGTGAACCAGTCACAAGGGGTCAGAAACAAATGCTGGGGTAAATGAGGGTCCAAAATCAGGATGTAGTCAAAAATACAAGTGATGTATAAACACTAATGTGTCCCACAACATCAGCATACTCGCCTATAAATCAACCATTGTGCTCTTGGTTCCTTAAATGATTCATTATTTCCTAACATATATATATATATATATATATAGTCAAATTTTTATATACACTACTGTTCAAAAGTTGATGTTTTTTAAAGAAATGAATGCTTTTATTCAACAAAGCTGCATGAAATTGACCAAAAATGACAGTAAATGCATTTATAATGTTACAAACGATTTATATTTCAAATAAATGTTGTTCTTTTGAACATTCTATTCAAAGAATACTGAAAAAAAAATGTATCACAGTTTCCACAAAAATATGCAGCACAACTGATTGACAACATTGATAATAATAAGAAATGTTTCTTGAGCAACAAATCAGAATGATTTCTGAAGGATCATGTGACACTGAAGACTGGCGTAATGATGCTGAAAATTCACAGGAATAAATGACATTTTACAATATATATTACAACAGAAAACTGGAATTTTAAATTGCAATAATATTTCACAATATTACTGTTTTTACTGTATTTTTGATCAAACAAATGCAGCCGCCTCATCTCTGACAAAACCTAAAACAAACGATAACTAAAATTAATGTAAGGGAAAGCAGAATGCCAACCTTGCCGCTGGCAGTGCCGCCTGCTACCCCGATGAGGAAAGGCTGCCTGACAACATGCTCATTTTCGGCTTGATTGTCCAACTTGCTGTCGCTGTCTCCTGCCATGCTGTCAGTGCGCGCACTGAGCTCTGTACTGCTTTTACCACCGCAAGCAGCGGCGCTCCTCCTCCCCCTTCCTTTCAATTGTGTCTAACCTTTTCCTTTGGAGCGTTTGTGTGCCTTGTTACATTTGTTAGTAGGAATTAGTAGAGCTCTCCACCTAGCTGACGACACATTTCCGTAGAGATAAAGTGTAGGGCCCGTTCACACCAAGCATGATAACTATAAAGATAACGATATAGTTCTAAAAATCGTTCTCAATATTAAAGAATAGCATAGTTCACACCACAACTATAACGATAACGATACAGAGGAACGATATCGTTGTGATCACTTTCAAAACGATTTTTTTCCAGCTGATGAACGATAAAACACTGACAGCCAATCAGAATCCATCCTGCTGTAACGAGCTCAAGAATTTAAAGCGGCAGACGCACGTGCGCTTAGAATAAACAGACGATGATGTGGACGCTAATATAGTTATCTTTATAGTTATCGTTCTTGGTGTGAACGGGGCTTGTCATTATAAAGAGTCTTGACCTGACTCTCTCTCTCTCTCGTTCTCTCTTTCAGTCTAATAAGGTCCCGGTGGTCCAGCATGCTCACATGCACCCCCTGACCCCCCTCATCACCTACAGCAGTGAACACTTTTCTCCAGGAACTCCTCCGGCCCACCTCTCGCCAGAAATCCTGGACCCGAAGACAGGTATTATACACTCTACTTAGTTTTAACTGGACATTTTGTCTTTCGTCATGTGACTGACTGACTGACTGTGTTCCTCTGGTTCAGGTATTCCTCGGACCCCCCACCCCTCAGAGCTGTCCCCCTACTACCCCCTGTCCCCTGGGGCTGTGGGGCAGATCCCTCACCCCTTAGGGTGGCTCATCCCACAGTGAGTATCCCAAAGGTTCATTGATACAACCCACACAGCCTGATTCATACTGATTCACTCTGATTCACCTTCTCTCTCTGTGTGCATCTCAGGCAGGGTCAACCCATGTATCCCATCACTGCCGGGGGTTTCCGTCACCCTTACCCAGCTCTTGCCATGAACGCTTCCATGTCCAGGTGAGTTGTGTGTGGCTTACGGATGCGTTCTCCCATACTGTGTCATGTTTTGCACTACACTTTTACACACCACATTGACTCTTTTCACAGAGTGAAGTATTTCCATTTAAATTTTGCAGGATAAAATTAGCAAAGGTTATTTAAAGGTTAAAAGTCTTTTGATGAAATGGAAGTAGTGACAGATCGTTTATTCTCTATTGTGACGTACATCCAAGTGTAGCGAATTATCAAAAACAATGGTTTTGATTTAGTTGTATGCATCAGTTGTTGATTGGATTTGAGATTCTGGGGGCTTCATACAAAAACAGAGGTCTATGAAGTAAGCTGGCTGGACAAAATTGTCAGTTATATTGCACGGTCCAAAAAGTAAGTGCAGTTGAATTGTTCACAGTAAGACTAATAACATGGGTTTAGAAAATAGATAGGGCGAGTTGTCATTTCATTGTTCACAAACTAAAACCAAACAGACAGTCAACATAGCAAGTACATTTAATTCATTAATATTAGTACTTATTTGTGTAATTACACTGTAACAATGTCACCTTAAAACAGAGTTCCGTTTAATTTTCATTTGCTAGTTTGTTGAAAGCATCTGTAGTCTTTTTTTAAAGTTTTGTGAGAAATGCAGTATGCATAATCCATCTAGACACAGCATAGTTCACCCCAAAAGTGTCTTCGACAATTCTGTCATCATGTACTCACCCTCAAGTGGTTTCAAACCTGTACGAGTTTCTTACTTCTGTTGAACACAAGAGAAGATATTTTGATGAATGTTGGTCACCAAACAGTTTCTGGTCCCCATTGACTTCCATTTTTTCCATACTATGGAAATCAGTGGATACCAGCAAAGGTTAGGTTACCAACATTCATCAAAATATCTTATGTGCCATAGAAGAAAGAAATGTATACAGGTTGAGGGTGAGTAAATGATTCATTTTTGGGTGAACTACCGCTTTAAGACCTATCATTAAGTTTTTGAGTATTATTATGGGATGTTTGAGATATTTTGAGATGTTGAAGGGTTAAAGGTCAAGACGTGCAAGCTGAACAGGTGTGTAAATGTAGTCTGAGTGATGGTTTAGTGGTTTGCACACATTGGGCCTTGGTGCTCATGTAGGAAATACAGATTCAATTCTAGCCAAATCCAAAATCCTGTAAGATAGGATGGGGAAGATGTGCTTTCCTTTATTTCAGAAGGCAGTAATGCTTATTCACTGCTTTCTTCCTTTGCAGTTTGGTGTCCAGTCGCTTTTCTCCTCATATCGTTCCTCATCATCCTCACGGCCTTCATCAGACAGGTATCCCTCACCCAGCCATCGTCTCCCCGTCTATTAAACGAGAGCCCAATGGAGAATTCAGCCCAGCGGCTAATACGTAAGCACACACTCACACATACAACACACTTACCTCCTCTTTTTTTTTTTAGAGTCAAAGAGGAAGGGGGGAAACATTGGTCACTTTTTCTGGTTCTAGCTGATGACAGGCCTTCATTGATCGTTCACCTCACTAGAAGCTCTAGGCACTGGGATCAGAACCGTGTCCCATTCAGCCGGTTGTAGGAAGTGGTTTCCATGGAATTTGGTCTGGAGTGTTGCGCTTTTTTGCGTTAACAGTAGCCACACACTTCACCTGTAACAGGAGTGAATAAAGGAGCTTTTCAGCGGGTACTTTATTTAGGCCAAATATGACATACGAATAGAAATAGGAGTGTGCTTTTGTCTAGACACAGCATAGTTCACCCCAAAAGATAAAAATTCTGTCATCATGTACTCACCCTCAAGTGGTTTCAAACCTGTACGAGTTTCTTACTTCTGTTGAACACAAGAGAAGATATTTTGATGAATGTTGGTCACCAAACAATTTCTGGTCCCCATTGACTTCCATTTTTTCCATACTATGGAAATCAGTGGATACCAGCAAAGGTTAGGTTACCAACATTCATCAAAATATCTTATGCGCCATAGAAGAAAGAAATGTATACAGGTTGAGGGTGAGTAAATGATTCATTTTTGGGTGAACTACCGCTTTAAGACCTATCATTAAGTTTTTGAGTATTATTATGGGATGTTTTAGATATTTTGAGATGTTGAAGGGTTAAAGGTCAAGACGTGCAAGCTGAACAGGTGTGTAAATGTAGTCTGAGTGATGGTTTAGTGGTTTGCACACATTGGACCTTGGTGCTCATGTAGGAAATACAGATTCAATTCTAGCCAAATCCAAAATCCTGTAAGATAGGATGGGGAAGATGTGCTTTCCTTTATTTCAGAAGGCAGTAATGCTTATTCACTGCTTTCTTCCTTTGCAGTTTGGTGTCCAGTCGCTTTTCTCCTCATATCGTTCCTCATCATCCTCACGGCCTTCATCAGACAGGTATCCCTCACCCAGCCATCGTCTCCCCGTCTATTAAACGAGAGCCCAATGGAGAATTCAGCCCAGCGGCTAATACGTAAGCACACACTCACACATACAACACACTTACCTCCTCTTTTTTTTTTTTCCTTATAGCTTTTTTGAAACTGACAAGTATCCTGTTTTATTACTAGCAGCTAATAGCATTAGCTGCACACTCACATCCAAATGAGTTTATCACTGTTTTGTCTACAAGCTCGCCATAATTATACACACACTCCTCTATATCCGTTTTTCTCACGGTCACTCCTTCACACACACACACACACACACACATCCAGTACATAGGCTGACCTACCTGTCGTGTGTGTTTGCAGAAAGTCTCCAGTCCCGACTAAGGAGGAGGACAAGAAACCTCACATTAAGAAGCCCCTAAACGCCTTCATGCTCTATATGAAAGAGATGAGGGCCAAAGTGGTGGCCGAGTGCACACTGAAAGAAAGTGCCGCCATCAACCAGATCCTCGGCCGCAGGGTGAGTGAACAGTTTAGTCCTCGTATGAACACACATTTTGAGTGAACCAGTCACAAGGGGTCAGAAACAAATGCTGGGGTAAATGAGGGTCCAAAATCAGGATGTAGTCAAAAATACAAGTGATGTATAAACACTAATGTGTCCCACAACATCAGCATACTCGCCTATAAATCAACCATTGTGCTCTTGGTTCCTTAAATGATTCATTATTTCCTAACATATATATATATATATAGTCAAATTTTTATATACACTACTGTTCAAAAGTTGATGTTTTTTAAAGAAATGAATGCTTTTATTCAACAAAGCTGCATGAAATTGACCAAAAATGACAGTAAATGCATTTATAATGTTACAAACGATTTATATTTCAAATAAATGTTGTTCTTTTGAACATTCTATTCAAAGAATACTGAAAAAAAAAATGTATCACAGTTTCCACAAAAATATGCAGCACAACTGATTGACAACATTGATAATAATAAGAAATGTTTCTTGAGCAACAAATCAGAATGATTTCTGAAGGATCATGTGACACTGAAGACTGGCGTAATGATGCTGAAAATTCACAGGAATAAATGACATTTTACAATATATATTACAACAGAAAACTGGAATTTTAAATTGCAATAATATTTCACAATATTACTGTTTTTACTGTATTTTTGATCAAACAAATGCAGCCTTGGTGAGCATAAGAGAGACTTTCAAAAACATTAGAATATCTTACCAACCCCAAACTTTTGAACATTAGTTTATAACTAACTATGCAATGCATGGGTGTGCGGTCACACTGGTATGTGCGTTGTGTAAATGCCGTGTGTGTGTGTGTGTGTGTGTGTGTGTGTGTGTGTGTGTGTGTGTGTGTGTTTGGCCTTTGGCTGACTGTGGTGTTTGTGTTTGCAGTGGCATTCTCTATCACGAGAGGAACAGGCCAAGTACTACGAGCTGTCCAGGAAAGAGAGGCAGCTGCACTCTCAACTCTACCCTGGCTGGTCCGCACGAGATAACTATGTGAGTCAGACATTTCATCACACGTGCACACACAGCCTTACACTCACTTTTGTACACGGTTAAATGGCACTTTCCATCAATACGGTACAGTTAGGTTTCACTTGCTGTTTTTGTAAAGCAATTGAGGAACAAATCCCAATTTTTTTTTGGTATAATGTTTGTTATACATCAAATATCTGTATACTTTTAACATATCTGTTATTCAATAGTTTTGTCCCTAACTACCTACCCTCTACTGAATGATAGCGTACTTGGTATATTCATAACTAGTGTTGTTTTAGTATCATTTAATATACTGTTGCAGGTTTTTTTATTTTTATATTTTCCATTTCATTTTGATTTTAATGTAGGATTTAGGATTTTTGTTGTTAATTCAGTAGCCTAATTGTTTTGTTTAGTACTTATGTTGCCATTTTTATTCATTTTATTAGGTATAGCTATTTTAGTACCAAATTAAATTGGAAATGTTTTTATTTCAGTTAATGTGTATTTTATTTCAAGTAACATATTTTTTTATGGTTTTAGTTTTAAAGTGCCCCTATTATGGGTAATGAAATTTTCATATTTTGGCTTTGGGAGTCCCCAACAACAGGTTGACATGCATGCTAGGTCAAAAAACACTTTCATTTATTTTTACCTTATTTGCTCAACGTCGATTCGTTTAACGATTCATTTTTCCAAAACCCTCCTTTGCGTGACGCTAATCTGCGGTGATTGGTCCGATTGGGTCTCATTTTCATTTAATCATGTCTGTAATGCCTGATAAAGCAGTGTTTGTGAGCGCAGTGCTGCTTTGTTTACAGCCGTTACTAGGAAAACCGCTATTTTTACCTTTCCAAAAAGCTGCACCTAGTGGCAAAGAATGAATTTGCATTTTCATTCAGACCAACAAGTGGGCGGGCAGTATGCTAATGTTTCATGGCTTGGGATTAATTTTCAAAACAACTCGTTTCAATGATTCAGAGTCGACTCTTTCTTTTGAGCGACAATAACTTTATACACCATGCACTCTCAGATTTAAAACTTTGCAGGATGTTTTCATTCACTTAGAGCTGTGTTATGCACTGCATGAAAGGTAATTTTCAAAAATCCATAATAGGGGCACTTTAAATCACAATAATAACACTGATTACAACCCCGTTACCCTGTTTTTATTGGCTGATAAATTGCCTATTTTATAAATGGTATAGTTAATTTGGATATTTATTTAATGTTCCTAACTAGAAAAAAAATCAGTGTTTCAAACTTTATTAAGGCTGGTATTTAGCAGAGTACCAAAACTAACAACCTTTAAGGTTTGACAACCTGAGGTTGATGCATCTAAAAGTTAACTACCTCGATTCACTGATCATTTGTTAAAGAATTTTAGGCCCAATTTTGAATCCTATTCATGGAAAGTGCCAAATGTTCTTTATATTATATAATTGCACTTCTTTGATGCTTTTGTCCACACAACTGTGTTATTATTTTTTGCTTCATTCTGTATTTATCGCTCTAACTCTATTTGCATCTCTCTCGCCCTCTGTATTTTTTTCTCTCTCTTTGTATTTTTTCTCTCCAGGGCAGGCGGAAGAAGAGGAAGAGAGATAATAAGACTGACTCAGCACCAGAGGGTGAGCGGGCACACACAGACACACTCGCACAGCCTTTTCTCTCTCGCCTTGTCCATTTCTAACCCCGCTCTCTCCTCCTTGCTAACATGCAGCTTATGAGGTCCAGTGCTAGCACAGGCAGGTACAGTATGTCTGCAGGCTTAGGGGCCGTTCACAAAGGATGTGTTCTGTTTTTTTTTCTTCTATTGTTTAATTATTTGTCTATATATACATGCGACAAATGGACGTCTTTGGCAGTTGCACCACGTCTTGCTATATTTTCATCATACTTCGCCATTAGCAATGAGAGGCCATGTCAGTTCAGTGAATCGGTGTCCGTTTTAAAACAATGGACCGATCTGATGAATGTGGGAGTGAGATATAAGCATACCAAGTGTTTATTGTGAGGGGTGTATGTTAGTGTGCCTTCTGTTCGATTCTGCCGTGCTCAGTTTAGCTATTTTTAAAGCACGAACGTGTCGTGTGTGAACGTCCTCTTAGACAGCCAGTGTCAGAACTGTAGAAGTCAGCTCACTCTTCATTGTGATCTCATCCACGACTACGTCCACCATTTGAGTACCGTGATGTCAATAAAATAACACAACACCATCTCCATTTTGTGTTCGGTATTGTATGGGTGAATCTCATTAAAAATGTCAAGAAGAGCATGTCTAGGTCATATTTCACCCCAAAATCAAATTATATTTTGCATAAAGATAATGAAGCAACATGACAATAATGTACATTTCCCACCAGATTCATATTAATGTAATGCCAAACAATGATATACTGCATCAAATCTAAAGAGACCAGTCTTGTGATTTTTGGCCAAACCCATTTGAAAGAAGAAAAAAAAAACATATCTCCTGACCACTAGGTGATGCTGTGCCGAAACTGTGCAGGTACCCTTAGGTCATAATTATTATAACACACACCAAGTTTGGTTTGAATACGCTAAAGTGTTGCGAAGATATAGCGTCACATACATTTCAACAATATTTTACCCCAACAAGCTAATGTAAACATCTCAATTGCATTGTCTGTAAATTTGCAACAAACAAATGTATAGTCAGCAGCTGAATATTTATTCAATGAAATCATAGCGTTTTGAAGTTTAATAGTCACATCGCAATTCTTGTCTTTCCGTCTCCAAATTTAAGACCTCCTGAAATCATAATTAAGACTTTCTTGTACCATTTAAGAGTTTTTATGGCCTTAAATGTGATACAATTAAATTGAAGACTTTTTAAGGACCCACGGAAACCGTAAGAACATAATTCAGTGCAAACATTTCTGTCATGAATTTGGCAAAAAAATAAATTTTACCTTTGAAATTTGAGGCAAGTGCAACTCTGGCGTTACCGGTGTATCTTTCATACTACTTTGTGAGCAGTGGAGTAATGGCGATTTAAATGAAAGGGATACTCCACCCCAAAATTAAAATTTTGTCATTAATCACTTACCCCCATGTCATTCCAAACCCGTAAAAACTTCGTTCGTCTTCGGAACACAATTTAAGATATTTTAGATGAAAACCGGGAGGCTTGTGACTGTCCCATAGACTGCCAAGTAACTTACACTGTCAAGGTCCAGAAAAGTATGAAAGACATCGTCAGAATAGTTCATCTGCCATCAGTGGTTCAATCTGAATTTTATGAAGCAACGAGAATACTTTTAGTACGCGAAGAAAACAAAAATAATGACTTTATTCAAAAATTCGTATCTGTGTCTCTTCACATCACCGTAGCACCATTTTGGAGAATATCCACTGAACGCAAGCAGCGTACGCTCTTCTGTGTCGGCCGTGACACAAGGATACGTTTTCTACGTGTATCTACGTTTTGATCTGAACGAAAACAGAGCATCCGTGTGGTGCGGCTGACACAGAAGAGCGTACGCTGCTTGCGTTCAGTGGATATTCTCCAAAATGGCGCTACGGTGATGTGAAGAGACACAGAGACGAATTGTTGAATAAAGTCATTATTTTCGGGGGGTTTCGCGTACGAAAAGTATTCTCGTCGCTTCATAAAATTCAGATTGAACCACTGATGGCAGATGGACTATTTTAGTACGAAAGTACGATTTTCATTGTCAGTTTTTCATTTATTTTTGCTAATGTTAGTGAATGTTCACATGCTCTTCCTGCTACGCTGAAATTAATACGGGGAGTGGCTGGAAACTATAGGGACCTCTCCTGGTTGGAGTTAGTATTAACATCATGAACTGAATGCAATCTTTCCGTGACTTACTTTTCCAACGTTTCAGAACTGATCATCCGAGTCTAATATGATCGAGCGGGCCATACTAAAAGATACTGCTCGGGCCGCCAGTTGCCCATCCCTGCCTTAAAATATTCAGATGCATTTCTCAATGAGAATTTGGTGGGAAAAAGTGCTTAATTGTCCCGAAAATATCTCAGTGGATCTAAAAAATAATACAAAGTGGCTCTAATAATAAGATAAAAAAAAACATTTCTTGATTTGTGATGAATTTTTAAAAAATCGCAATTGAGGTTTCTGTAAGTGTATCCCTGTTTCTGGTAAATGTGTTCTCATCTCTGCTGTTGTTTAACAAATGTGTTAACTCTGAACGGTTAGAAATCCTCACCATTCATATTGTGTGACTTCCGTCCTCTTTCAGATTTCTCGGCACGGAATAAGAAGCCGTGTGTGCAGTACCTCCCTCAGGAGAAGATGATTGACAGCCCGGCCTCCTCTCACGGCAGCATGCTGGACTCTCCAGCCACGCCCTCTGCAGCCCTGGCCTCGCCCGCCGCTCCCGCCCCCACTCACTCTGAGCAAGCCCAGCCGCTGTCACTCACCACCAAACCCGACCGCCACCATCACTTCCCTCTGCTCTCCAAACCCTCCTCCTCATCATCTTCATCATC